CTTTTCTTCCTCGGTCCTCAGGTGTTTCTCTAATGACATGGTACTTAACATGAACGTGTTTTGTTCTCTAATGTTGCACTGGATTTTCTGCATTGAAATAGCACATTGGTTGTTAGTATTTTGATCACATAAGCCTGAGATTGTTACTGCCCCATATGAGTTAGGATCTTCTACACCTTGATTAGCAGCAACTCCAACAGCAATGTACTTAGCTTCAGCTGGGGACTAAGTAATTGGCTCTTGCTTTTTGGACATCCAAGAAAAAATGTGAAAATGCATAACTAGAATTACTCATTGCTTCATCTGTTCATCCAATCCACTCACCGTATGCACATCCTTCCAATGGAACATGTTTTTCCTTTTCAAACTATATGCCATAGTCTGTAGTACCCCTCACGTATCTAAGTACTCTTTTAGCTGCACCATAATGAGATTGTGAAGGAGAGCTTATATACTTTGCATTAGGCTTGTTCCAATGAACCATGTTTTTACTTTTCAAACTAGATGCCATAATCTGTAGTACACTTGTCAACAGCTCTTCAAATTATACCATATTGATGATCAACATCCTTGTATGATGCAATCTCTTCAGGTTTCCTATAGCATCCTCAGCCTGATTGATGAGAACATAACATTAATTGATAGTTACCAAAATATCATAAATAAATAAATATAGAAAAAAAATTTATTAAAAGTATTTTAGTAGTTCAATGTCTAAAATGTATTTTTTTTAATACAATTCGTACTAAAAAAACCATTTTTGGTTTTTAGTTTACCATTTATTTTACATTATGTATTATTTAGGAACTTGAAACACAACTCAAATATTTAGGATATCCTTCGAAAATTTAATAGTAAGTTTGGTTTATGGAAAATGAAGGGGAGAGATGGAATTTTTTAACCAATCAGATTGCAATATCTAGAAATGTTATAATTTAATTGATTAGAAAAACTCATCCTTCCCATTCCCTCCATTTTCCTCAAAACAAACATATGGTAAGTAGGGGTGGCAAAAAGCCACCCGAGTTGTTAATCTAACTTGTTAATTTGACTTGTGAAAACAGGTTAGGGTATACATATCTCAACCCTTGACCTATAAAAAATCTATAGTATTAATCCACACAGGTCACGAGTTGAGTTTGAGTTAACTAGCAGGTTAATGAGTTGACCCTTTTGCATTCTTTTTCATTTTTTATAAATATTGTACTTATTATTCTTAATTAATTTTCCTATAGGTAACTCTCTTCATTGATTCATGCATTTCAACTTCTTCTCCATTACTCACATGGTTTTGAACCTATTTTGAGTGTTTACTCTACTCATCACTATTTCTTTTTCCTCCTCTAAAAATTATATGGGTTTGATCAAATTACCAATTATTATGAACAAGGTAGTAATGCAACTAAAAACATTTAAAATGTGATGTTGGGATATAGACATAATGATTTAGTGAAAAAGGTTATTGGAAGAGTAATTTCATTATAAGGAGAAGTAGAAACTTCTTGATAAATTATATTTCAAGATAATAATTGTAAAATTCAAACTTTATTCTCTAAGAAATTTTAATATTTTAAGTTTTATATTATTAATTAACTTCCTGTCATATATAACCTATAATTTTTTTCTTAATTTAAATGTTTGTAATGAAAACCATAAAGTTTTTAGTGTTAATTAACTTACACTACTTTAGAACTTTTAAATTTTAGTTAGATTTAGATACTTATGATTTTATTTGAATATAATAAAAGTAAAAAACAAATAATGATAAAGAATGAAAATAAAATAAACATGTAAGTTGACCTATAAACCATTAAGCATTGATTAAGATTGATTTTCATCAATCCGTAACCCATCTGCGACCTAACTTGCATAACCTATCACCTAAACCCAACCCAACCAGCTTATTTGCCAAGCCTAATGATAAGTGACTTGAAATTCAATTTTACCTCTCTCTTTTTTTTTTTCTTTCTTTAAAAGTGTGCAAGATTTTATGCATACATAATTTTTTGTCTAAATTTTTGTTGTTGATGCAATTTTTCCCAAGTTTATTTAAAAAGTTAAAATTTAAATTAAAATTAACTCGTCTTAGTTGGATTCGGACGAGAGTAGAAAGGAAAGGGTAACACCAACAGCTTGAACTTTGCCTTCGAAGTTGAAAAATGTGCAGACTTAAATTTATACCATGAGGGTGTTGCAATAACCATCCAACCAATACCTTCCCATGCAAGTGTGAGAAATTGAAAAGCAGCTCTACATAAAATGCAAAGTTTGAGCTGAACAAAAGATAGAAGGATAAAATTGAAATGGTAAAATTGAATTTTCAAGTCACTGAAGCTTTCGTGGGATATCTTGAAAACATAGCTCTTCGTTTTTGATAGGATAGAAAAAAAAAAAGAAGAACCAATAAAACTCCCAATTTCATCAATTTCAAACTCTCATTCTCAGATGGCCAGACAAAAAAATGAAAAAAAAAATTTGGCAAATTCAAAGGCAAGTTAGGGACCTCCCAAATACTTCAATAAAGGGACAAGAAAAGCAAATGGAAAACCAAAAAAAGAGTCAGTTATACACTATGAATTGACCAGCAGAGACAATGGTCAAAAAACCCTTCTTGAGGTTCATAGATTAGCTCTAGATTTTACTTGGTGAAGCTAAAAATGATATTATAGCAACCCTAGTAGATGCTGAAATCTATGGCCATGAATCAATAGCAGTAACCTTAGGTACTTGAACTAATATCTGATTGGCCCAGCCAGGCCCCTAGATGCAAACTGAGAATAGAAGGCCTATGAAGATTATGTTTTAGTCATTCTATGTATATGTAACACATGCCAATAAGCTAATTCAATTGGATTACCTGTCGAACAATTGGATTTGTTGATGTCGCAAATTCTTTAGTCATTCCTTGCCAAACAACCCTCCCTTCATGTAGAAACAACAACCTAAAAAAGAACCAACAAGAGCCTACCTAAGTTTGTACCCAATAACTTAAAAAAAAGATTTGATTTTAGGGTAAAGGTCA